ATCTACTTATGAAAAATCATGCACTGAGAACCCTGTGGAGCACAGTTCTACTCTGACATACACGGGGCACCATGAGTAGAATCTACTTATGAAAAATCATCCACTGAGAACCCTGTGGGGCACAGTTCTACTCTGACACACATGGGGGGCACCGTGAGTGGAATCTACTTATGAAAAATCATCCACTGAGAACCCTGTGGAGCACAGTTCTCCTCTGACACACATGGGGGGCACCATGAGTGGAATCTACTTATGAAAAATCATCTACTGAGAATCCTATGGACAATAGTTCTACTCTGACACACACACGTGGGACATCATGAGTGGAATCGCCTGCCTCATAGACAGCTAACAAAAACAACAACAAAAAGACCGTGGTCTCTGTGTGTTGCAAATAGTTAACATGGTTGGCTAGTAAGTAACCCAGATGCTGGAGGTTGACTCCACCCAGAAGCACCTAGGGAGAAAGGGCTGGCTGTCTCTGACAGATCAGCCATCGGCAGCCCTTGCGGAGCAGAGTTCTCCCCTGGGTGTTTTTGTGGGGATGCCTGATGTGGGGACTCACCGTGGAGAGCTCTCTTTCTTCAGCAGATTCAGATGGAAGAGGGAGGGGGCGAGACATACGGCCAGATTCATGGCGGTCATCTGGTTCTCCTCCACCATGTTGCTCACGTCACTCAGGAAGCACAGTAGTGTCTGCAGGGCCTCTCGGTTCTCGTCCGCCAGCAGCAGGACAGCCGCCCGCACAGCCTGTAGCCGCTGCTCCTTGGGAACATCTGAGGGAAGTGGGAGGGAGCCGAAGTGTCAAGGGAGCCGGGCTTCCTGAACTGTGACGGGAGCAGCCAGCACAGCCCACATACCATCCCAGGTACTGGTGGGGCTTTGAAAGGGTTCACAAAGAATGCAAAAGCCTGGGGCTGTGTCTTGGGACCTGAGTCAGACACAGGGGGATGCCCAGCTCAGCGTCCTGCGAGTGACTCAGTCTCCCTAAACTCTCAAGAGGTCCACCCTGGCAGGACCCTTGGGGGCAACACTGGGTTTGCACCGCCAGTGTTTTACTTAGCAGATGAATGTGTTACCCTCATGCTAGCAGGGTTCCTCAATGTAAAAAAACCAAACACTGAACCCACTGCTACCGAGTCAACTCCCGGTGATGGTGCAGGACAGAGCTTCACCGGAGCGCACTGCCACATCTTTCTCCCCACAAAGCAGCTGATGGGTTCGAACCGATGACTTTCTATCTAGCAGCCAAGTGCTCTAACCATTGCGGCACCAGGGCTCCTTTCAAACCCAAAGGGAGGCTTAACTGAAAAACGCAGTTCACCTATTTGAGCAACAATGCCATAACTCCCTGTTTTGACCCCACTGAGTCGAGGGTGATGAACTTTATACTTCTGTGTGGATTTAGGAATTACGTGTGTAACTAAAGGAGCCCTAGTGGCACAGTGGGTTAAGCTGTGGACTGCTAACTGAAAGGCTGGTGGTTCAAACTCACCAGCCACTCTACTCAATGGGGAAGAGAAGGCTTTCTGTCTCCGTACAATTTATAGCCTTGGAGACCGTCTGGGGTCGTCCAGCCCTGTCCTCAGGGTCGCTGAGTCAGAATGGACTCCATGGCAGTGTGTGGGGGGGTGGTTAGTTGGTTCTGTTCTGTTTGGGTGGGTGTGGTGCTGTAGGATAAGC